TCTGGGGGACAGGGGAGCGGGGTCCTTGCCCACCGGAACCCTCACCTTGCTGGGGGAGGATGAGGCAGAGGTACCTGAGCCTGGCAGGGGGGCCCAGGCCCAGCACTCAGTGACTCAGCCCGGGCCTTGAAGCCAGAGGCGCTCCTGCTCACCTCCTGTCGGGGTCAGCCTGGGCCCCCCAACCCCCTGATCCCCACATTGCCCTCGCCTCCATGCCTGGGTCTGAGGGTATGAGTCCGCCAGCTGTCAGCAGGGCCCCTACTGAAGTTCTTCCTGGCCCCTGGGGGCAGTGTGGGGCCAGGTGCCGCCTGCCGACCTCAGAGCCGCGCTGACCTGGGTCTCCCACTGGCCTCTGCCCTTCACCTGCTGCTCAGTGCCTCTGAGCCTCAGTTTCCCCATCTACGAAATGGGCATGGGAACAGTGCCAGCACCTCCCTGCGTGCCCAGGGTGAGAAGGCACCTAGCCAGTACCCTCACGTGGCAGCTACACCTGTCACCGCCACCCCCTCGGAACTGTAGTTTCTGTCGCAGCCTCGGCGGGGGCGATGGCGCTGCCGTCCTCACCAGCTCGCTGGTGTCTTCGGGCTCCGTCTCCCTCTCAGGCTCAGGTGCTCAGGTGCTGCCCAGGGCTGAGGTCTGTGGTCCCAGCAGCCCCCGCCGCTGCTGTTTGTATTATCGTCTCCCCTCGCCCTCACCCGGGCATGGGCTCCGGAAACCTGAGCTTGGCTGAGGGACATCCTGCATGGTTGCCAGGCAACCAAGGCGCAAGCCAGGAGGTTTGGGTGTCAGGGTGTCCAGCCACGCCCCATCCCAGAGGAAGGCATGAGGGTCCCTGGGGTTCGGGGTGGGAACCCTGGCCTGGAAGGGACCCTCACCTCCTCTCCTGCCCGCCCAAGCCCAGCTCATCTGAGGGTGATGGAGGCTGCTGGCCTGGGACATTTTTATAGGGAGATTGTAGAACCTGGCTCAGAGGGAGAAACCGGAGCCCGCTGCTGCTGCCGCCACGGATACAGCCGCTGTCACATCCCCACTTCCTGGAAGTCGGCAGCCCCAGCCAGCCCCAAAACATGGAGAGCACCCCGGCCCCGCTGGGGGCCTGGTGCCAGCTCCTGAGGCTCCCAGGGCGCGGTGCCTGGGCCCCGGGGCCGTTCCTAGCACGTCCTGACCTCTCTGCAGTGGTCGCACCTGCTTTTTCACCCCTTCTCCCCACAAATGCATTATTGTACCTGGTATCCCAGTGCTCCCGCACTCTGTCTGAGTTGCTTAACCTCTCTTTGCCTCAGTTTTCTGATCTGTAAAATGGGGGCAATGACACTTGCCTTCTCAGTTCACCATGTGGATCTAGTGTTTAGTGCTTAGCACAGGGCTGGCACATAGACATCAGCCCGCCCTCGTCGCTGGCTGTGCCACCCTTGCCAGGCAGGAGGGCGCAATACCAAGCCTCTTTAGCATAGGAGCTGCGTCACTTCCAGTCCATCACTCCGCAGGGCCCAGGTCCTGGCCTGTGGCAAGCCCTGGCAAAAGTTTGCGAAATGAGTAGAGTACAGAGCTACACCGATGCCTTAGCTCCCAGGCCCGAGTGCCGGCGTTAGCACCAAACATCTCGGACAGCTCCTGGTTCTCAGGCTTGCTTATAGCTGCGCCATCCCCAAAGCTGCACCTTGTGGGTCTTCATTCTCTCCCCTCTGTTTGACGTGGGAGTGGAGCAAGCAGGGCCATGAGTGCTCCAGGCAGACCTGAGCGGTGGAAGAGCAGGACCTGGCAGTGCCGGGACCCCCAGGGCCAGCGCCGTGCTGCACCCCCTCCTCTTTGTGATGGACATCTAGCCCCCACTAGTCCAGCGTCGTGGGTGAGACCTACACGGTCATTGGTGAAGAGTCCTTTGACGTAACCACCCTCATGCTCAGAGTGGCCCCGTGTTGGGGGAGAGGGCTGAGCCTGCCACGGGTCGGCCAATCTGCATTGGGTGGCCGCCAGCCATCGCTCACAGCGGGGGATGCGGCCAGGCTGCCGGCTCCAGAATTTCGTCCTTGACTTCTTCCCAGCACAGGCAGGGGCTGCCATCTGCTTCCCGCCGCTCCCAGCCAGCCTGCCAGGTCGGCCAAAGCCCCCGCGCCTCTCGTGGCAAAGCCGGCCTCGCACCTGTCAGCAGGTGAAGGACGAAAGGCTGTGGCGGCGGTGGGGGTGGGGGTGTCCTGGGAAGGTGTTGGCACTGGAGGGCCCGGGCCCACAGGGTGCACAGGGCGGTTCCTCTCCCGGAACACCCACGCCCTCCACGGGTGCCCCAGCTGGGCCAGCTCTCAGTGCTGCATGCAGGGCTGGGAATCGACCGAGTGCCAAGTGCAGCCTTGGGGCTGAGATCCTCACGTGACCCCTGGCCAGCCTGTGCCCTTGGCCAAGCCCCACATGTCTCTGAGCCTGTTTCCTTGTCTGTGGAATGAAGAAAAAGAGAGCCCCTTCCTCCCCCAGGGCACCGGGTGGGCCCTGGCGAGCTAGTGGGTGGCAGCAATGAATTCGGGTTCTTTTTATCGCTGTGGCCACTGCTTCAATGCCGCCACTTCCTGGCCGTCTCTATAGAGATGTAGTCTCACTTCCTGTGCTTCGCCCCTGCCCAGAGCCAGGAGCTGGCTGCTCACCAGGCATTCAGTGTGCGCTCTGTGCCTTTGCATGCAGACCAAGCACATCTGAAGCTGTGGGTGGGCCTGTGGCCAGCTCACCATCTTCTCCCAGGGCTCCACAACCCCTTTCCAGGCGTCTGCCCCGCAGTCTTTCGTGCGGTGCCGGCTGTGTGTGTCAGGGGTGCTGGGGACCTGGAGATGGAGGGGCTGTCGAGGGTGCTAGCGGCCACACCCCCACAGAGAGGTCAGCTGCCTCTGCCCGGAGAGCAGGGTCAGCACAGGGTTTGCTGGAGGCAGGGCCTGGGAGCCAGGCTCTGCAGGGTGAGTAGGAGTCCCCCAGGCAGGAGAGCAGGAGGCAGGGAGCAGCCTGTGCTAAGGCACAGCAGGTGGGCCACAGGCAGCTCAGAGTCGATGTTTTTAGCAAAATAGAAACTCAGCCCCACAGACGCATCCGTGGCCAGCAGACAGCTCTGGCTGACCCACATGGCCATCGTAGCGGAGGGTGGGGGTGACGGCAGCGCGGGTCAGCACCCGAGGGTCTTTCCAAAACCATCAGTTCCAACCTCCTGATTTTACAGGTGGGGAAACTGAGGCCCGGCAAGGGAAGACAGTGGAGCAGGGACAGCTAAGACCTCTGTCCTGTGCATGCCTGCGAGGCCCCCAGTGCTGCCCCAAACCACTCTCCATGGGTCCCTGTGCAGGGCAGCCTGAGAAGCATCTTAGCGCTCTGATAGTCGCCATGTTATTGCTCAGGGTCCGCCTTCATGCCAGGACCCCCTCTCACTATCCAGACACCTCTCAGATGGAGAGATTCACACCCGGATCCTGGCTGAAAGGTGCTTTGCTGTGACACAGGGCTGCTCCACGCCCCTGCACACACACACACAAACACACGCACATAACCATACTCACCCACAGCCCAGAGTCTTCCTTCTGGAACACACACACTCGGTGCACACCTCAACACTTGCCCCACTTGGGTGTGCCCAGGCCCACATACACACAACCACACGCACACAGCTGGCAGCACGGCACAGCCATGCACAAACTCTCTGGCACACGTCTGTGCACATGTGGACGTGAACTTCAGTGGAGAAGGAAGGGCAGGGGTAATCTACCCAGAAAACGCCACATGCTAAAAATTGCTTGCAAGAAAACCTCAGCTCCCCGTAGAGAGCTTTGCACCCACGGCGTTGGCGTGAGCTGTCGGGAAGGGGTGGAGGGAGAGCCCCTGGCTGGGGAGGCAGCAGCTGTGGATGGGACCTGGTACAGGGGCTATGGAGGCCGTGGGCGTGGCAAGTGTTTGACCTGTGACGTCACGTGAGCTCTCCTGAGCTTGGCAAACAGCTGCCCCTTGTGTGGCCTGTCCCGTGGGGAGGGGGCCTTGTGTACTCTTGCTGGGCGGGACGCGGTCATCAGGGGCCAGCTCGGTACAGGCCTGCTGCCCATGGATTCTGGCTCAGCCACCAGAGCTGCTCACACCTGACCTCCTGAACCCGAAACCCGCTTCAGGCCAGGCCCCACCCTGGAGAGGGAAGCGGAGGCGGGTAGCTCTGTAATGAGGAGTTGGAGTGAGGCCTGACTGGGGACTGGCAAAGAGGGGGCGTCCAGGGAGGGGCTGAGGAGACTACAGGAGCAGGCGGTGAATCGGGAGGGGAGGTTGAGAAATACCCCTGGACTTGAGGATTTGAACCCGGGTTCTGCCTGTGTCTGAAACCCAAGCCCCAGACTCCCCTGGGTCCCACTCCAAGGCCAGCATGAGCTGAGACCTGGGGTCAGGGATTTTGAAATGCAGGACCCCTGTTTGGGAGGAGTTGGGGCCACCTGGGGTGAGCGAGAGGCAGAGCCCTTCCCTGGCTCCCCGACTTGGTGTTTGGGGCAAGAGGGCTCCTGCAGGCTGGGAGAGGGGGCACGGTGGGGCAGGAAGGACTTCAGGGTTTCCTGAGTTGGGTCTCCTGGGGCCGTGGAAGCACCTTGACCTTTGACCTTGAGCTCTTCAACTTCTTTTTTTTTTTTTTTTTTTCTGGTTTAATAAGGACTTGTTTATTTTGAGAAAAAGGTCCCAACATCAGGCTGTTCACAAAAATAACCCACAGTATCAACTTTAGAAAACAAATATTAAGACTATTACACTACTTTTTTTCTAGAGGATGCATTTGACATGCCAACTCTCATTCACAAAAATACATTGTTACAGTTGTGTTGAACAGCCCCACACAGCACTCGTATGTGGGGTAGCACACACTTCTAACTCAAAGCCGCTGGCAGGTGCTACTCAACTAAATGAGACGGCTTTTGCAGTTAGGGAAGCAACTACTGAGCTCATGAATGGGAAGAACTGTACTCCCTGCATTAACAAGAGATTATTTTGGAGACAGCTGATAAAAACCATACATCCTTTTTATTGTTAAGTCATAAAGAGGTATCAAAATTAAAAGCAAAAATTACAGGGCAAGACTTAACAAAACTACTAGGAGCATCAAAGGAAGTGAAAATGGGACTAGGCGCAGGGCAATAGGAATTAATGAACATGGGAAGGACAAGGATGGGGCGAACAGTGAGCATGTGCTGAAGATACTAGGGGAGAGGATCTGGTGAAAATTTTGATCTTAGACAAGCGCCTAGGTAAAGAAATAATGGGATAAGATTCCTAAACCCCACTATGTGCTTAAGAGTCATCCTCGCCATTGGCGCTGTCTCTGTCATCCTCTCCTTCCTCAGCCTCTTTTTCATCATCCTTGATCAACTCCAGCTGGTCATCCCCCCGATCTTCATTATCATCATCATCCAGTAGGTCCCCCTCCTCAGCAGAGTCATCTGCACCCCCCTCAGACTCCATCTTCACATTAGTCTCATCTTTCTTCTGGGAGCTGCTGCTCTGCTCCTCTTCTGACTTATCATTCTTCATCTCTACTCCTTGTTTGCTCTGCTCCTTTTCAATTTTTTCCAGGCTTTCCAGCAGAGAATCCACTTTTTGTTTTATCTGGGTCAATTCCTTCTTAATGGCCTGGAGGTCATCTCCTTTCAACTTTCCAGACTTGGAAGAAGATCCTCGTTGTCCACTCTTAGAATTGAAACTTTTTCCCCTTCTTGAGGTGTTTCCTGATACACGCTGGCGTTTAGAGGGCACTACAGCCCGAGCAATAGGAGGAGGAGGAGGAACACGTGCTGGGTAGCTATACATCCTGTCATAATAATCCCGTTGAAAGTCATAGTCCAAGTCAAAAGAGGAGCTGAGTAGAGGGGACGGAGAAGGGTGTTCTGGTACTGACCCGTACATCTCCGCTGCAGATCGTTTCACACCTGCTTTTCCTCGGTTCACTTTTGGCTCTGCAGCCAGATTAATATCTAAAACCTGGCCAGCAATCATTCTGCCATCCTCTCCTGCTACTGCAGCTCGGGCATTTCTCTCATTAACGTACTGAACAAAGGCAAAGCCCTTGTGAACAGAGCAGCCCACAATTTTGCCATACTTCGAGAAGATTGCCTCTACATCAGACTTCTTGACCACAAGAGTGTTGAGATTCCCAATGAATACACGGGAGTTCATGGAGCGAGGATCTGTCTTGTTGGTAACATTGCTTGCCATTGTGTTTGATGCTAGGGTCTTCACAAAGCCGAAAAATGTAGCTGAAGATCAAAAAAATCTCACTCAAGCAAAGTTCCACTAACTTATAAATTTCAAGTGATTTGTAACCAGGAGGGGGAGGGAGAAGAGATTCGATTCTGAATCTCCCACTCCCGAGTTCTACGTGGAGAGGCCGACCACTGCTCGAGGTAGGCAACAAGGCCACAACCGCACCGTCTTCGTCTCCGCACCGAGCTCTTCAACTTCTTAGCTGAGGACTGGGGCTGCCCTTGAAGCTGGTTAAGCAGCTGGGTGGGGTCAGGCTAGGGCTTGGGAGTGCCAGGAGGCTCAGGGCCGGTTCTGGCAGGAATCGGGGTGGAACATCTTCAGGGGATCCTTCCGGCCTTCCCAGAGCTGGGAAAGGTCAGAGACCCCTGGCTAAGGATGCAGGAGGCAGCATCCGGGAGCATCCCGGGAGTCAAGGGCGTTGGTGGCTCAGGACAGTGAGGTCCCTTGAAGCCCCTGGGCCTGAGCCTGGCTCAGCAGCACTTGCTCTGTGGCTTTTGGCCAGCACCTTGCACCTCAGGGCCTCTGTCTCCCCAGGTAGAAATCACGCCATTGTGGCCTCTGCGTTTCTCCCCTCGCCATGCTCGAGGCTGGGCCCAGAGTTAACTCCCTTCCTGCCGACGGCCTGGCCTGGGGTGGCTGTTACGGTTCCCACCTTAGGGACGTGGCAACTGCAGCCGGGGAGCCAACTCTGACGGTCCACCCGTGGTCACGTGGTGGTGGCAGAGTGCATCTTCTAACCGAGATCTGTACGAGTTGAAGCCTCCAACGAGGCCCTGACCCTGTTAGGTTGGGAGTCAGATAAAAAGTGGTGAAAGACGCATCAAGGAAACAAGCCTTTGGCCATGTTGGCTTGGTCCTGGGAGCTGCAGACCTGGGGCCCCAGCAGAGGGGCAGAGGTGCAGGGAAGGAGAGAAGAGGGCGCCCCGGCGACTTGAAGGGGGCTGCTCGGGGGACCCTGGGTGTTGGGAACAGGGGAGCCCGGCAGCGCGCTCCCACCCTGTCCTGGTATCCTTTCAGTGGGGCCTCAGCACCAGGGCCAGGCCCACACAGCTTCAGCAAGGATGGGGTGCCCTGGGCCTGTGTCCCCCGGGAGCCTCGTGTGCGTCTGTCCCGGCACAGATGGCTGGTGAGCACAGCGAGTGGCCCCGCCTCCACCCGCACCTCTTCTGCCGAGGGGACCGGCTGCACCCGGCAGTGTGGTGTGCGTTATTTTTAGAAGTGTCACCATCTGTTCTAGGTGCCGAGTGGATTCTGTTCGTCTCCGCAGTGGCCGGGGCCAGGGAAGAGCTGCAGAGACAGGCGGGTCCCCCGTGGGCACACTCGGTGGCCTGCATCCTGTGGGGTGTGGGAGACATAGGGGCTCTGAGACGTGGGATTCTGGGCTCTGGGACTGCCTGGGGGCAGGGCGGCTCTGGAGCCAGAGCAGCCAACCGGGAGGATGCGTTTGGGGAGGGAGGTGTCAGGTGCCCACGCACTCTCACCTGGCTCCTGGGCCTGAGTCCAGTGCCTGTCCCTGGTGCCCCCTGTGTGTCCTGGCCCTGACCTCAGGATTAGGGCAGAGTGGAAGCAGCAGAGACAAGAAATGATGGCCAGACCAGGAGACCCTCCCTGGCCCTGGGGCGATGACCAGGCAGCCCTGACACGCGTGGTCCAGGAGGGCAGGTTCTTACCCCACTCAGCTCCAAACGCTGGGGCCTTCCACTGCCTGTGTTTCAGAGCTGGAGGCTCTGTGTGCGGCCTGCTGGGTTCACATCCAACACCTTGGTGGCCCTGCACCTTGCAAAGCCTCCGTTTGCTCCTCTGTGACCTGGGATCGCAGTGGCAACTACTTGACAGGGTTCAGGCAGGGATTTGCTGATTTGAAGGCACTGGCACAGCGCCTGCCCCTCGGAGGGGGATGCACTGGGCGTGGCTATGCCTGCCCACGGTGGCTGGTTTTGGCTTTGAAATGCAAGCTGCATCCCAGAAGTCACTGCTGACAGGGCCCTCCCCTGTCCTAGGATCTTGTCCGTTGTGGGCTCCGCACAGGAAGAGGCTCGTCCTGTGCTGGGGCAAGGGTGCCCTGGGGACTCATCATCATGGGGCGGGGGACAGGCGAGCAAAACGCACCCCAAGGCAGAGGACGCATTAGTTGTTCAGTGAGGAGCGAGTTCCCTCTGACCACAGCCCAGGGAGCCTGGTCCCGAGCCAGTCGGGCGGGAATGAGAGCCACGGCCGTGAGCTTGTGCTCTGACGGGGGCGCCAGCGTGAGCTGATCCAGAGCGGCAGCAGGGTGGCACACGGTGGTGGCACAGAGCCACACTGGCCTAGCGCCCAGCTCTGCCTGAGTCTCAGTTTGCTCACCTGTAAAATAGGCATAGGCATCGCTACCCTGTGGGGCTGGTGTGGGGTGAGGTGTGTACACAGCCTACAGCTGCCCCTGACACAGACGCTCTGTCCATGGAAGTCCCCATCAGCACTCCCCAAAGGAGGAGGTGAGGCTGGGGCCAGGGCCAGGGGCCTGACTGGGGTCAGGTGCCAGCGAAGCGAGGAAGAAGAGGGAGCCTGAGCCCTTGTCCCAGCACCTCGTGGCTCTGGGCACCTGGCTGGATGAGAGGGAGACACCAGGATGCCGAGGCAACATGGGGTGCAGGAGAACGCAGGCCTCTGGGGGAGCTTGAAGCCGGGCAGCTTCAGAGAGGGCACTTGGCAGCCAGCAAAGGTCAGCTCGAGCTTGGGACGAGGGGTGGGAGCCACCATGTCAGGATGGAGGTGGGAGCTGGGTGCAGAAACCTACAGCTGCTCCCAGAAACTCCAGAGAAGCCTGGACACACAGGGTCTGAGAAGCCGCAGGACAGCAGTGAGGGGGCGTCCACCGCGGGCAGGGCCTGGCCTAGCAGGAAGTGGCCATTGTATGGTCATGGAGAGGGCGGGACGGTAGACCCCAGAGTGGGGGCAGTGCTGGCTGTGAGAGGAAGTGGGGCCATGAGGACCGGGAGCCCCAGAGGAGTAGGTCGGTGGGGCTGCTTGTTTCAAACCCCCAGTGCCAGATCCACAGGCTTGTCCATCTGCTCAGGTGGGGGCTACAGCCCCCAGGGGGCACACAGGCCCATGGCCCTCAGCAGCAGCACATTGAGCAGCCCAGTTCTGAGGTCCCTGAACTCCTCCAGAAGGAGCTGTGCAAGTTGGAAGGGAAGGGCCCAGCTGCAAACCCGGGCTCCTCGTCCACCTTCCTGGCTCATGGATTCCCCTCCTTGGGGCCTGAGGCCAAGTCACCACCTCCGGGGATGTCTGGCGTTTCCGCCATGGGGACTGTGGGTGGAGACGGCCTGGACTCCGTCATGGAAGGGGGCAAGGGCTCCTCTGCTGTCGCCCAGAGGAGCTGGAGCAGAGCCACGCAGCAGTGAGAAGCAGCTGCCTGTGCCAGCGTGCACCACCCCTGCAGTGCCCACACCCTGCTGCCTCCCCGCTCCTGGGAACCCAGCAGCCCTGCTCTCTGCTTGCTTCTCTCTCACTGGGCTTAGAGCTCTTGGCCTCAGCATCCTCGGGTTGAGTAGGAAGGCCTCCGTGCAGGCCTCGGCTTGCTGCTGCCCTGATCCAAACCCAGGCCTCAGCTTTTGGAAAGTCTCCCATGCTCCGCGCAGCCCCTGGCACCTCCAGGGGTGACTTCTGCTCGTCCACTCCAAGCATGAAAAATCAAAATACACTCAGGATGCGAGATCCACAGGGATAGGGCCATGCTTTGTGCAAAAGCGTGAACCACCTAGGGCACAGATGGCCCTGGCGGACTGACAGGGACCTAAGTGATCCTCAGGGCCCCCTCGTGCTCAGGCCTGCCCACTGTGACAGCCCCCTTGTCTGAGAACCAGACCATGGGCAGCAGTACCAAGCCTCTGGGATCAGCTCCCCATGCCCATTCCTGAACTCAAGGAAAAGGCCGGCTCAGCGTCCTCCCCACCACTCACCCCTGGCACACCAGGTCCAAGGAGGCATTTTGCCCTTGGCTTCCCAACCCCTGTGCTGATGGTCAGCAATGCTGTTCTGGGACGCCCCTGGGTCCTCATGACTGTGTGTCCTGAGCTGGCACCACTGCAAGTGGACAGCTCCCATTCTCGCCCATCCCCGTCAGCACTGCAGTCCTGGGGACAGCTCCCACTGGAGCTGGTTCCTCTGATCCGGCTCTCTGTCCTCCCCAGAGAAGGCGTCTTTCAGCACCTGCACCACGTGGACAGCTCCCACTGCTCCTCTCAGCAGGTCAGCCGACAGGGGAGCAGGGCCTGTGGTGATCAGGTTCCCTGACCTCAGCCACCCAATCCCTCCCTGGCACCCACCTTTGTCCATCCATCAGCACTGTGCCCACAGACGTCCCTCGGCCCTGCCCTCCATGGCCAGAGGTGAAGCCTGAGGACCGAGCAACCAGCTGGTGACCTGCTGTGTGTAATGGCCGTGTGGACCACAGGAGAAGGCAGGAGAGAGGGCAGGGGCCTGGCCCACTGCAGAGAGGACAGTGAGTTTGGGGCCTGGGAAGAACACCTGGGGGGAGAACCGGTTCTGCCACTTGGCCTGTGCCTGTCAGCCGCTACCTCTGTGAGGTGGGGGCGCTGGCAGTGCCTTGTCACAGGGCCCTTGTGAGGGATAAATGAGACGCCAAGTGTGTGAAGGGTGCTTGACGTGTAGTAGGGCTCCCGTTAGTGTGGCTCTCATCATTCTTGGCTTCCTTGAAGTCTTGTGCTCAGGGCCTTGGAGCAGACAGCGAGAAGGCATGAGAGGGACAGAGGCAGAAGGGGCAGTGTCCAGTGGCCACTTAGGACACATGGACTCTGGAGGCTCGGGGCAGCCACCACCACAGGGGGCACTCAGGAAGGGGAACTGCACGCATGACCCTGCAGCCTGAAAGCTTCAAATCCTGGCAGACAGGCACCGCTGTGCAGAGGCCCCGGGGCGGGGGGCAGTGGGTGGCCGAGACAGAGGTGAATCCTAATGAGCCTTTGCCCTCTGGTTCTAGGCCATGTCTCCTTCCTTCTGCCTCCAGCGAGCAGGACGTGGCCAGCCAAGCCAGGGAACTGTGTGTGTCCCAAGAAGCAAGTGCTGGGGACAGGAGAATTCTGGGGGTGGGTGGGGGGGTTGCTGCAGGGACCCTCCAGGATAGAGGGTCTGCTGTACTCACACTCTTCACAGAAGGGGAAACTGAGGCAGGAGGGGGC